TCGACTTTCTAGACTAGAAACTTTCTTTACTTTTCTAGTCTTGGGTCTTAATACATACTATTAAGGAGGTTTGGGAGTATTCTTCAGAGAGGCAAGGATCGGAGAGTCCCACTGGTCCGCGCAGATGTACCCCCTTTACCGCGCACCTTCTCTTGCACTCTACAATCTTGAATCTGTACGATCGAAATTGGTTATATTTTTTAAAAATGCCCGGCGAGTCGTAATTTTTTTTTGTTAAGCATCTTCTTTTTGTACTAAAATATCTATAAAAGCATTTTTTTTTTTTTAATCTAACACATTTAAAATGTACCGTAATTTTTAATTAAACGCAACCTAACCTTGTTCTCTCATGTAAGACCGTGTTAAACTGACAACATTTAATAATTTTTTTCTCGAAAATTTCTCTGGTGAAAAATCTGGAAAAATTCATGTTCACTCTGGATATACTCAAACATAACATACATTTTTTTGGCAAGATTCTACATTTTGAACTTTTCTCCCAAACCTCCTTAATTTTCCAAGTGTTCTTAAACAGATTAATTTATTTTTAGCCACTCGCTGCAGCACGATGTATAGTCACCACTAATTCAATTTTCGCTCCATGTTTTCAAGCAACTTTATTATTTTGAAGGTCAGTTTTTAAACACATTTTTTATTTAAAAAATAAGAAACTTTCGTTTTTTAGACGTAAAAAAACGTCTTATCGTTTTTTTCATGATTAAACTTGGATTTTTTTCTAGCAACTCTTCATCGTTATTCCTTTATGTGTTGTGGTGGTCAGATGCAAGTGCTATAGAAGTGGCATGCATAGTTACATATGGGAGAGGAGGGATCCGAAATATCAATCGATCAGCTGTGTACATTATGTTTGTAGTAAGACAATGAATGTTTCTTCCAGTGACCTTGATTTTAACGATGGTGACATCGTAGTGCAACGACTGTACATGACTTTGACAGCCAATTACGTGGTAGTTTACTGTGACTTTTTATTTTTACTGGTTTGTAATTTGCTGTCGAAATAATGAACAGCTGTTGTACTGAGCTGTCGCTGTCGTCAAAATAAACGTTACTAGAATAAACGTTTCTAATTTTATAACAAAATCAAAGTGAACTTGAGGTGTTGCAGACTCCCCCCCACCACCTCCCTCCATACTTTAGTGC